GGGGTTGGAGACGTGTGGTGGGGAGTTGACAATGTGGATCTGGACCCCAGAGAGAAGCTGGTGATGGAGGCACCAATCTGGGAGGGGTAGTGGTTTGAATAGAGTCCTTCCCCCAAAAGATATGTCCAAGTCCTAATCCCTGGTAAAGTGAATGTGAACTTATCTGTAGGTAGGGTCTTGATGGATGTAATTAGTTTAAGGATCCTGAAATGAGATAATCCTGGATTTATAGTGAGCCTAAATACAAAGAATTGGACAGGACTTCATGACCGAACAACAATAACAATGAAATACAATAACTGTTGTCCAAATAAGAGAAAGGAAAAGGAGATTTGAGACATGGAGGGAAAGACATATGATGATGGGGGTAGAGATTAGATGGATACATCTGCAAGCCAAAGAATGCTAGAGCCTCCAAAACCTAGAGAAAGGCATGGAACAGAGCCTCCCTCAGTACTTCCTGGAAGAACCACACCTATGACACCTTGATTTTGGACTTTTGGCCTCCAGAACACTGAGAGGATAAATTTCTATTACTTTGCATGCATGCTAAGTCGCTTCAGTTGTGTCCGACTCTTTGCAAACAAATGGACCATAGCCTGCCACGTATCTCTGTCCATGGGATTCTCCAGGCAAGAATACTGGAGTGGGTTGCCATGCCCTCCTTCAGGGGACTTTTCCTGACCCAGGGATTGAACCCGCATCTCTTATGTCTACCCGCCCTGACGGGCATGTTCTTTACCACTTGTGCCACCCAGGAAGCCCTCTGTTATTTTAAGCCATTCAATTTGTGGTAATTTGCCATGGCAGCTCTTGCAAACCAATACAAAAGGGTTTTCATTTATTTTCAGCTCCATATTAGGGTGAGGGAAGACAGAGGTAGACCCAAGGACAGAAATCAAGGCGACACCAATCTTGAGGAGAAAACGTCACTGTGACTGAGAAAGGGCAGTCGGAGAGGTAAGATGAGAACTAGGAGAGTGGAGAATCAGAAAGGCATGAGCTCCAGGCAGGAAGCTATGTTCCGTGGTGTCAAATTTTGCAGAGAAGACATCTAGGATTAAGGCTTAGAAGAGGATATCAGATTTAGCAATAAGGTCATTGATGACATCAAGTTGGAGCAGTTTCAGTAACTAAGAAAGAAATGTCAAATCAATAGAGAATTCTTTCAAGATGTTTGGCAGTAGTGAAGGGGAGAAAGAGGCCATGTCAGTAGCTTGAGAGAGTTTAGAGTAAAGAGAAGTCATAGGTAGGATGGGAAGCAAGAATATATCTAAGACTTCTGTGGAAACTAGCGCTGGGCAAGGCTGTCAGTGAAGGAAAGAACAAAGAAAACAAAAGAACCAGGATCATATGCCAGCAATAGTAAAATGTTCACCAACATTTGGTGTATAGAGTACAGAGTATTTCTTAGTACAGAGTTGTTTTTGGGAAGCAGGTATCATTGAGAGGCAGCCCTTCCCAGCCTCCCTTGCATCCAGATGGGGACATCAATCAGTTCTAGCCAACAGAGTAGGGTGGAAGTGGAGAGTCGCCTTCAGGCCACGGTGGGCGTGCTTTCGCTACTCTTTCCCCCACCTTCAACTGGAAGCAGGGGATTTCACAGTCCTCAGAGAGGGCAAAACCGGAAACGTGAAGTGTCTCAAGTTCCTGAATCACCATTTCCCATTAATAGGAAAATCCACAATGGATTGTTACACAAGCAAGAATAAAGATTGTCTTAAGTCCCTGAAATATGGAAGTTCATTTGGGGCAGCAGCTAATGTGACTCTAATACAGACTGCATTTTATATGCCCAGATCTTACAATGTCAGGTTCCCACCACTTGTCAAAGAGTCAACTCCTACCAGCCTAGCCCGCTAAAGACCACCTATCTGGCAGCACCTGGGACCTGTCCCATCCTGACTGAAGGTCTTTCATCCATTCAACACAGAGTATTAATCTCCTACTATGCATAGTACACTGGACTGGAGTCAGGGATGTGGTCATAGATGTGATCAAGACCTGCCTTTAGGTAGATTACATTCTAATGGGGCAGATAGACAGGGGACTTTTCCTGACCCAGGGATTGAACCCGCATCTCTTATGTCTACCCGCCCTGACGGGCATGTTCTTTACCACTTGTGCCACCCAGGAAGCCCTCTGTTATTTTAAGCCATTCAATTTGTGGTAATTTGCCATGGCAGCTCTTGCAAACCAATACAAAAGGGTTTTCATTTATTTTCAGCTCCATATTAGGGTGAGGGAAGACAGAGGTAGACCCAAGGACAGAAATCAAGGCGACACCAATCTTGAGGAGAAAACGTCACTGTGACTGAGAAAGGGCAGTCGGAGAGGTAAGATGAGAACTAGGAGAGTGGAGAATCAGAAAGGCATGAGCTCCAGGCAGGAAGCTATGTTCCGTGGTGTCAAATTTTGCAGAGAAGACATCTAGGATTAAGGCTTAGAAGAGGATATCAGATTTAGCAATAAGGTCATTGATGACATCAAGTTGGAGCAGTTTCAGTAACTAAGAAAGAAATGTCAAATCAATAGAGAATTCTTTCAAGATGTTTGGCAGTAGTGAAGGGGAGAAAGAGGCCATGTCAGTAGCTTGAGAGAGTTTAGAGTAAAGAGAAATCATAGGTAGGATGGGAAGCAAGAATATATCTAAGACTTCTGTGGAAACTAGCGCTGGGCAAGGCTGTCAGTGAAGGAAAGAACAAAGAAAACAAAAGAACCAGGATCATATGCCAGCAATAGTAAAATGTTCACCAACATTTGGTGTATAGAGTACAGAGTATTTCTTAGTACAGAGTTGTTTTTGGAAAGCAGGTATCATTGAGAGGCAGCCCTTCCCAGCCTCCCTTGCATCCAGACGGGGACATCAATCAGTTCTAGCCAACAGAGTAGGGTGGAAGTGGAGAGTCGCCTTCAGGCCACGGTGGGCGTGCTTTCGCTACTCTTTCCCCCACCTTCAACTGGAAGCAGGGGATTTCACAGTCCTCAGAGAGGGCAAAACCGGAAACGTGAAGTGTCTCAAGTTCCTGAATCACCATTTCCCATTAATAGGAAAATCCACAATGGATTGTTACACAAGCAAGAATAAAGATTGTCTTAAGTCCCTGAAATATGGAAGTTCATTTGGGGCAGCAGCTAATGTGACTCTAATACAGACTGCATTTTATATGCCCAGATCTTACAATGTCAGGTTCCCACCACTTGTCAAAGAGTCAACTCCTACCAGCCTAGCCCACTAAAGACCACCTATCTGGCAGCACCTGGGACCTGTCCCATCCTGACTGAAGGTCTTTCATCCATTCAACACAGAGTTATTAATCTCCTACTATGCATAGTACACTGGACTGGAGTCAGGGATGTGGTCATAGATGTGATCAAGACCTGCCTTTAGGTAGATTACATTCTAATGGGGCAGATAGAAACTAAACAGATAGACACATAAAAAAACATAATAAAAAAAAATAAAATAAATAAAAAATTTTAAAAAAGAAACATAACAACGTCAGGTAGGAAAATATGATGTGCTGTTTAAAGACTAAATAAGACAGAATAAAGGGATAGAAAGTGATGAGCAGGAAATGGTGCAATTTTGATTTTTTTAAATTTATTCTTTAATTGAAGGATTGCTTCAGAATTGCTTTACATAATGTTGTTGTTTTCTCTCAGTGCACTTTTAAATAGATTGGCCTGAAAGGCTGCTTTGAGGATGTGGTGTGGATGCAGAGACCTATGTGAAGGGACCAAGTGAACAAAGAAAGAGCTGGAGGAAAGATAACCTGGACAGAGGGAGCGGCTCATGCAAACGTGCAGAGCAGAGCACAAGCTGGGTGTTTTGGAGATGACCAGGAAGGCCAGTGTGGCCAGAGCAAGGCAAACAAGATGAGAAATGACCGAAGTGAGGCAGAAAGATAGCAAGGGGTCAAACGACAACAGGTCCTGGTGAGGACATCAAGTCCTATTCTAAGAAATAGAGGGACACTGACCCTGCCTAGCCTCCCAGGCAGGCAGAATTTCTCCCAGTGCCCCCCATGAGTCAGCTTCTTCCTCGCAGACCTGTCCAGCTGCCAGGACCCAGATCCAGTCCGTCTGTTCCCGCCCCATTAACTTGCTCTGAGCTCCCCCAGGCACTGAGCCGGCAGACTGCAAGGTGCGTTTGCCAAGGGTGAGCCAGGCAGAGAAAGTATTTTTTTTTCCCGGAGAGGTGACTCCTCTGCAAAGAAAATAAAGTTCATAGGTTTCCTAGGGGAGAAGCTGCACCCACGAGGCACTGAGCACTAAGTCTATATTTGAGCTGAAAAACATGCAGACGGGCGGGCGGGAGCCCAAACACAACTGCTTCTGCCTTCTGCGATGGCAAATGAGTAATTTTGCCTCCTGGAGTTTCAGGAAGCTCCTCTAAGCTCTGAAATGGAGCCATTCCTCATACTAGAAGGCTGCAAAGATACGTGTGAGGGCTTTGGGGCTGCCACAGATGGAAACAATCCTAAGAGCCACAGTAACTCGCATTTGCAATCTACACTTCCTCCTCCCATCCAAGCTGCTCCATCTTCACAGCAGTATAGGATGGAGCCTGGGCAACTTCATCCTACAAAGGACATGCTGGCCATGAGAGGTGAAGCGTTATGGACTATATGGTCACAAAGCCAGTGACTTGGTTATTCTCATGTACCTACATTTAAAACTAATCATGATTCCCCTGCTTGATATTGTCCATGGGTCTTAAAATTCAAACCTCTCCCAAGGTCCTGCAACATCTTGTACCAGGGACCAGTTAACTGCAGCCCATGACCCAACTCTGTAAATAAAGTTTTACTGGGACACAGCCGTGCCCTCTCATTTGCATATCACCTATGACTGCCTTTGTACTATGATGCGAGAATTGAGTAGTTGTTTCAGAAAGTATTAGGGCCACAAAGCTGAAATATTAGCTGTCAAACCCTTTACAGAGCAAATATGTCGACCTGGCTCTTTGAGATGAGTCCAGTGCCACATTCTCTCACCTATTCAGTCCTCTCTCTGCCCAGTCTTTTCCAGGCACCTTATTCTTTCTTCTTTCCCCAGAGAAGCCTGGATTTCCTGCCTCAGGATCTGTGCACTTGCCGCTGTCTCTGCCTGAAACTCTTTCCTTCATGATTTTGACTCTCTGACATCCCTTCCCTTTTCAGGCTTCAGATCAAATGCTGATTCCACGATCTCCATATCTAACAGCACCCCCCCTCCAAGTCTTATCTCAAATTCACTCCTTTATTTATGGCATATATAACCTTCTAAATTATCTTATTTGTTTACATACTTGTTGTCAGAGTGCCCCACTAGAATAACAGCTCCATGGAAACAAGTACCCAGACAGTCTTGATCACAATGAAATCCGTGATGTATAGAATAGTGTCTGACACACCCTGGGTGCTTCACTGTCAAGGGCTAAACGAATGAATCAAATGACTATTAAATAAATCCTAACTGTCCTTACTCTACATCAGAGTTTCTCATCACTCAATGATCTCATGGATCTCAAATGTCCAGCATCATTGACAGTTGGGGCTGGATAATCCTGTGTTGTGGGGGACTGTCCTATGTATTGTAGAATGCTGAGTAGCATCCCTGGTCTCTATACACCAGATACCTGTAGCAACAGCCCACCACCAAATTGTGACAATTAAAAATGTCTGCGTGTGTATGTGCTCAGCCGCGTCTAATTCTTTGTGACCCCACGAACTCCTGTGTCCACCAGGCTCCTATGTCCATGGAAATTTCCAGGCAAAAATACTGGAGTGGGTTGATATGTTCTCCTCCAGGGGATCTTTCCCATACAGGGATCGAACCTACATCTCTTGTGTCTCCCGCATTGGCGGGTGGATTCTTCACTACTGTGCCACCTGGGAAGCCAAAAAAAATGTCTCTAGATATTGCCAAATGTCCTCCTGGGGGAGAAGACACCACTTCCTGTTGAGAATCACTGGGCTACATTGTTTGAATTTACCCTTGAAACTTGAAATATAAACAGCAAGCTAGTGCACAAGAACAGAATCATTCTGGACTTCTGATTAATTGTAGTTGTACCTAAGGATGGCCTCGGCATTGGGGCCAGCTCCGTAATAAGTTGATGAGATGGCTCCTGAAAGGAAGTATCAGCATGTTTTGGAAACAAAAGGCCCAAGTTAGAAATCACTTTAGAGTTTTCAGTAGGGAACGATTAATAACAGGGAAGCCAGAAGGTATAGCGCTACAAGTTATTACCACAGTCCAGACTGACATCACCGCAAAAAGATGCTGTTGTGTGACAATGAGAGTGGCAGGGGGAGGAGGCAATGAGAATGGAGAGGCCAAGGGGCTCTCTTGGGGATTTGGCCATTTACAGGGCATCAGAATTATTGATGTGAGTGTTTTGTTAAGTCTCCCTCCATGACAACAAGAAAAATGGATGAGAACAGATATGGAGCAAATGCACCGACTGGCAAGGCCTGCCGGTGATCTCTGGGGTCCGCGGATGAAGGAAGGATATGGAAAGTCATTTAGTGATCTTGTTTTCTACAAGGAAAATGCTGAGTGCAGGGAGGCTGTTACTGCTGCAATCTGGCTGCTGCTGCTGCCTTTGATGTAAAGGTTGGTCAATGTATTTTGCTCAGTTCCCGGGGATGGAGTCTATTTTAATAGCTCTGGCCCCCATGGGGCACAGCTTAATGCAGTATCCAATGGCTATAGTTCTGCTCACCAGAAGGAGGATTGCCCTCCAGCAGATGACCCATGGGGCACCGTGGTGTTAGCCAAGAGGAAGAACTCGGGTCACACAGGCTTCCATGACCTGTAAGCTGCATTTTCTGGTGAAAGTGGGGTTTGGAGTGGAGAAATGGGGCATCACAGCCAGCACCCAGGCACCATGCCTATTGAAGTAAGTAAATTTCTCCCAGACCAACTCCCCATGGGTCCCTCTCCCCTTCTGAAAACCTCCAGGGATGAATTCTGCTTCCTATCCGTCCTCCCTACCACCTCTATTTCTCAGATTTGTCTCCCACCAAGGACTAGTTTCAAATTGGGACACAGTCCTGGCTCCCAGATTTCACTGTGGAAAACAAGCCCCCAGTCTTTTCTTCCTCGGATGTCAGGACTAGGAAATAGAGAGGGATGCATATAAATAGAAAAAGGAGAGAAACAAATACAGCAGAATCTGTTTGTTTTTTTTTTTTAATTTTTCTAGCATCTATTTCCCCTTCCTTTTATAACAGTTACATATTGGGGAAGATCCACTGTACCCTAAATCTCAGTCCTTGGAATTTGTGTTATGGCTAGATTCAGCCATACCAGACTCAGGGGCAGGCATGTGGCCCAGTCCTGGGCCAATCAGGATGTTCCATCTTCTGTTCGTGAAAATGGGTGTCCAGATGGACAAATGACCCAGGTCAATTCAATCATCATTAATTCAAGTTCATATGCGCAAGAGTTTAGAGAAAAGGAATGTTTTTTCTGCCTGGATTGAGGAGAGAATAGGAGGAAGGTTAGGAACCACTAAAAATCATTTTGTCATCACTGGTAGGGAGTCTGCCAATGGAGCCAAACGTGAAAGACTGCAGACAGAAACAGAAGGGACAGTGTGACTGCATCCTGGTGGCCACTTGATACAGCCATGCCTGAATATGGTCCTACTCTGAATTTAGCAATCACATAGATGTTCACTATATAGAATACTTTTTGTTGATTTTTTTTTTTCTCAAGCATGTTTCAGTTCAGTTTGGTATCACTTGCAACAAAGGAATCTTGTATTTTAACTGACAAATTTCCCAAACTCTCTGAATTTCACAGAGACATGCTATTTGGTCAGTATTAGTTTTCCTTAGTCCCTTTGATTTCTAAGCCTCATTCTTAAACACTGGGGGGTGGTGGTACTTTCTTAAGTTTAAGAGTATTCACTCTTTAATCCCAGCTAATAAATAAGTATTTATTGAGCACCAAATACATTCAAGGCATCATGTTTGGTTTTTAGCTAGGCTTTTTCATTTAACTTAGGTTATAAGAACATGTGATACACAGTCTTACTTTCAATTTAAAGGTAAACAATCTGGAATTCAGAAAATAGAGAAAGTGCTAAGTCACACAGCTAATAAAGGGTAAAGCGAAACTTTAAATCCAAGACACCATTCCTAGGTCACAGAAACTCTCCCATTGAAGCCTGAAGTTATAATTGGGTACTGCTTGACAATTCAAATTAAGTAATACAATTCACCATTTGAGTACACACTAGAAGCCCATGCTCTAGGCTAAATGCATTGCCTATAATATTTCTAATAACAATACAGTAGGATAGGGATTCTTTTCTTTTCATCATCATCTCTTTTCTTTACAAAGGAAGATACTAAGGCTTAGAAAATGTAAAACAGCTTGCCTAAGATTATACATATAGTCAGTTCAGGAAAAGATTGGGTACAAAATCAAACAGACTCTAAGCCTGTTGCTCTCTCCAGTAGCTAAATTTTCTCCCAAGTCTCAAGTGAGAAATTAGCATCTTAAGAGTTTTGTCTTCTCCACCCCCAGGTATCCCTAATGTGTAAGAGAAAGCTCTCTCAGGAAATTTCGTCATGTACCATCCACTTAAATACTTCACACAGGAAAGCATGAATCCCCAGTTAAAATAAGGTACTTGGAGGCTGGGTTCATGACTTACACAACCACCCAGAGGCATAGCAAGTTCATGGTAAATAGTTACTGAAGACTACACTCTTTCCATACCTTTAAAGCCTCCATTTACACCTTTTCCCCAAGTGTGGTCTATGGAGATTTCCCCAGGAATTCTACTAAAAATGAAGGTGGCCATATCTCAGCCCAGGCCTATGAAATCAGACTATATGGGATGAATGGATAAAGAAAATGTAGTATATTGAAATAGTGTATACATATAACACATTCAAATGATATAATTTATATGAGCTATAAATTAAATATGAAGTATATATAATATGGATTTATATATTACAAATTATGCCACATAAAATTGTGTATTATATATAACATTCCAATAATGAGTATATTATATTATGTATATTAAGTATATTGTATAATGTATTATAAAAGTATTTTTATATTTATAAATACATCTGCTGCTGCTGCTAAGTCTCTTCAGTCGTGTCCAATTCTGTGTGACCCCATAGATGGCAGCCCACCAGGCTCCCCCATCCCTGGGATTCTCCAGGCAAAACACTGGAGTGGGTTGCCATTTCCTTCTGCAATGCATGAAAGTGAAAAGTGAAAATGAAGTCACCCAGTTGCGTCCGACTCTTAGCAACCCCATGGACCGCAGCCCACCAGGCTCCTCCTTCCATGGGATTTTCTAGGCAAGAGTACTGGAGTACAGCCCAATAAACCACATAGTCCTTATATATTTATATGTAACACTCATGTTTAGCTCTGAAGGTTGGGTAGGAATTCACCAAGTATATTGGCAAACTGTTGCAGGCATGAAGGTCAATATGTGCAAGGGTCCTGAGATGCAAAGGTGAAAAGAGGATTCTAGAAACTGAAGGAAAGGAAAAGAGTCTATGTCCTGGAGAGAAAGAGTGAGAGAGAGCTCTACATCCTCAGGCTGGTGAAGCCCAGCATGCAGGAGTCCCTACACCACAATCAGGTTCACGTTTTTGAACTCTCAGCCCAGCTGCTTTGTTGAGAGGAGAAGAGAAGAGGACAAGGGTGAAAGCAGAAAAAACCACAGGAAGGCGATCTTCTCCAAACTGGAAAGGAAGGTGGCATGGATTGGGTGACTGTAGACAATGGACACAACAGTGTTTTGGGGAAATAGAAACAAGTCTCAGTGCCATGGTTAGGAGAAGAAAGAGTTGCATGACTAGGTGGAAATCCCAGAAGAGTACCAGCATGTGTCAGAGGATGGGATGAACTTGGTCTTAAAAACGTTGAATTCAGGTATATATCAGTCAAGACTCCGTTGCAGACAACAAAACCCCCTCTAGCTATTTTAAGCAATAGTGGATTTACTTCCAAGATAGATATTCTCTCTGCTATCTCTTGCTGTGTAACAAGCCACTCCAAACTTTGCAGCTTCTAAGGAGAGCCATCTACTTAGCTCATGATCCTGTGGGCTCTTAATTTGGGTTGGGCTTAACTGGGTGGTTCTTCTGGTCTTGGCTGGGTCACTCTCTCCTGTGCTCAATTGCAAATTAGCTAAGCCTCACTGCATCTGTTGCTTGAGTGTGATGAAGACAATGGGGCCATGTATTTATGATCATTTAGCAGGCTAGCTTGAGCTTTTCACAGAGCTGCTGAGAGAGTTGCAAAAGGGAAACTGCCTCTTAAGGCACAGGCTCAGAATGGGCACAATGTTACTTTGCCTCATTCTGTTGGTTAAAGCAAGTTACAAGCAGCCAAAATTCTAGGAGTGAGAAAGAGACTTTCTCCAAGGGGTGGGCTGCAAAGTTTCATTGCAAAGAGTTATGAATTTTAGAAGGAATAGGGAAAATTGTGGCCATTTTTTGTGACTGATCTACCACAAGTACTTAACAAATCATTGAAATGATAGCAGAACATGCTCAGCCTCTAAGAATGAGTCTGCTCACCAGGGGAGCTTCTGCTCCTGCCACAATCATGAAGTCTATCCCAGGACCACTGATTCCAAGAATACACCACTGTCTTATGATCCCAGGATCAAGAAGCCTCTTGAGATGTCCCTTCAGCAGAACTGCCTTTCCACATTCATGAAAGCAGTGAGTGGAGCCTGGAACCCTGCCACAGAAAAATCCAACATCCCAACTACTGCAGCAAAACAATGACCTCACCTTCCAAATCTCACACAAGTACATATAACTGATGGAGTTGATGGTTTTGATCCAAAACTTCAAGAGAGTCTAAGAAGTGTTTTCCAACCTCAATAGTATAGGAAGTCATTCTGGAAGGAGTTTGGAATGAATTCTGCATGACAAATCACCATATACAATTCATATATTGTGAAAAAGCCAAAGAGAAATCATAATGAAGTAATAGAATAGATGCAACTGCAACTCAGGGAGGGATTCTGGGCTGATCTGGGATTTGAACAAAGACCTGAGCAGGGCCCAGGAATTCATCACTGTATGGTATGCCTAGGACTCATGCCAAGATCAAACGTCCTAACCATTTCTGGAATGTAGTTAATGTCCAATCCTATTCCCACTGTCTTGGTGATTTGTGCTTCAAGAGAGGAATAGTAAAAATCTTTTTCAATTACACCATGGAGACCAGAGTCTAAGCTTGTTATTCAACAGCTCTGTGAGCGTGACCACCCTCTTTCCTCCCACAGCCTTGGTGTTTTCCCTATCCAGCAAGTTGAGTGGGATTTGTCTACATGGGTGAATGGCAAAAGCCTCTTTCAGCAACAGAATCTATGAGAGTTCCTTGCTCCCATGCCCAGGTAGGACCTCATCTACATGGCAGAGTCTCTTTGTCAAATGTATACTTCCCAACGGTACGTGTGTGCTCAGTCACTTCAGTCGGATCCAACTCTTTGCAACCCCATGGACTATAGCCCGCCGGGCTCCTCTGTCCATGGAATTCTCCAGGCAAGAATACTGGGGTGGGTTGCCATGCCCCTCTCCAGGGGATCTTCCCAACCCAGGGATTGAACCTGTGTCTCCTGAATTGCAGGTGGATTCTTTACCGCTGAGCCACCGGGGAAGCCCAGCTGGTAGAAGAGCTTATTCACTCGACACTTGGCAATTAAAGCAAGGGAGATGCCCTGGATGCCTGCCAGGCTGTTCTGTTCCCCACTCCTGATGGAAGCAGCTGTGCCCCCTGCACTGGGATCCCTTCTTTTTCTTTCCCACTTCACCCTTCCCTCCAATACATTCCTAACCCATCCTGCCCTAGACCTGATCTCTACTGGGGGCCAATTATAGGACATAATCCATCTGTCCTACAAGAGTAGCTTAATGGCTGGGATCTCAGTAAACTCCTAATCCACCCATTACAAATCCAATAGTTACTCAGAGACCAGCCAGATGGTTGGTAAAATTTGCATTCAACTTACAAATGGTCTAAATAACACTCCTGTGTATCCTGGCCAGAGAAGATGCCACACCAACCCTGATGCTCAGTTACTAGGAGTATTCAGAGGATGGCACCAACGCAGCAACCCATCCGTTTCTCCACACTGGCCGAGAAAAATTTATTGGGCAATTACTTGGAGCCAGGCATGGTTCTCAGTGCTAGAGTTTCAAAGGCTAACATATTTGACAAGAGCTGTGCTGTTGTTGAATTTGCCTTCTAGAGAGGACACAGTGAATAGAGAATTGAGACCATAAAAGAACAACAAACACTAGTGAGTGTTAAGTGCTATGAAGAAATCAAAACAGGATAAGGGAAGGTTGAGGGGCTAAAACAATCTGCTTGATTCCAGTGACTGAGAAGGCTGCTCACAGGCCACAGAGGGCATCAACAAGCAAGTGGCCCATGAACTTGAATGGTGCCCAATGGTGAGAAGCAACAGGAGACAAAATTATGAGGATATCAGGTTCCAGAAAGATGGGGGAACAAATGTAAAAACTCTGAGAGGGGATCAAACTTGAGACATTCAGGGACAGAGATGCAGCCAGTGTGGCTGGAACTCAATGAGTGAACTGTGGGATGTGTCAAGGCCCAGGATGTCTGCAGGAATTGATGATGTAGAATTAAACAGGCCACTCAAGGAGAGGATTTTATTCTAAGAGCAACAGGGAGGGCTCAGAGGGTTTTAAGCACGGGCTGTGTAATCCAGCTTGAAAGATACTCTGAGTGCTACAGCAAGAGGAGATAAAGGGGTAAGAGAAGGAGGAGAATTGATCAGGAAGCTATTGCTGAGACCTAGGTGGGAGGAGACATGAAAGATGATGGAGCCTCTGCAGAAGTAATGGCAGGAGAGATGGTTGAGCTGTGGTCAGATTGGGTGGGGGGGAGAGTTAGCCAACAGGACTTGCCATTGCAAGGGGTTACAGGAAATAAAGAAACAGAATGACTTCTAGCTGTCTTCCTTGAGCTTGTGGGTGGGTCACGGCAACATCACTGAGATGAAAAGTTCTAGAAGAAAGAGTTGAAGAATAAAAGTGTCAAACTTGGCCCAAGTCACACTTGAGATGTGCATACAATGCTGAATTAGATGTGTGAAATAATGGATAATGGATATGGGGATGTGAAGCCAAGGAAGGTCAGGTCCAGAGATAAAAATTTTAGCATTATCACAAAATACATGGTTTATAAAGGTCTGCGCTACTTATATGTGGAATCTAAAGAGAAATAACACAAATGAACTTAGTCAAAGAACAGAAACAGACTCACAGACTTAGAAAATGAATTTATGGGTTGCCAGGAGGAAGGAGGAGGGTAAGGGATGGTTAGGGAGTTTGGAATGTACAGGTACAACCCGCAAGGACCTATAGTATAGTACAGGGAACTCTGCTCAACGTTATGGGGCAGCCTGGATGGGAGGGGAGATTAGGGGAGAATGGATACCTATATATGTATTGCTGACTCCCTTCGCTGTCCACCTGAAACTATTACAACATTGTTAATCGGCTATACTCTAGTATAAAATAAAAAGTTAAAAACAAAACCAAGTGGAAAAAAAACTTTAAAGATAATAAAGGCTTAGGCTGGATGTGATTACTCAAGAAAAGAGCACACACAAAGAAAGGACCCTGGATTGAGCCCAGGGCCCCCCTCCCCCTTTTTTTTTTCAATCAGAGAGGATAACAAGTCATCAGAGGAGAAGGACCAAGCTAGTGAGGCAGAAGTGAAGCAGGACAGGGTGGCATCCTGAAGCCAAAAGAAGCGCAGCACCTGAGCAGATGAGCTTTGCTCTTGTTCTAGCTCAGTCACTTCAGTCGTGTCTGACTCTCTGCGGCCCCATGGACCACGGCCCGCCAGGCTCCCCTGTCCATGGGGTTCTCCAGGCAAGAGCACTGGAGTGGGTTGCCATTTCCTTCTCCAATAGATGAGGTTAGGAAAGTCCAAATCAATCACCCCTTCTGGAAGGACATTCAATCAGGGACATTATCTCCATGGAGAAGGGGAGGCATTTACTGAGGAAATGATGTTGGGTAAATAACTACATGATAATCAATAACCATCACCAGGGAGAAGAACTATTTGGTTCAAACAGTAATTACAAGCCAAAATCACAGATCATGGTTTGAATTAATTTTGAGAGCTTAATCTGGTAAACCCCAGTCCCAAGAATATGTAGAGACCAACTAGACAGGAAATATCATGAGAGACTCCACTCCATCCTTTAGATGATGTCTCCATAATGACCATTAATTTTTTAGAAAGGTCTTAATATTTAACTTGCTTAACTTACAGTTGCTTTGCAGTGCTTTTAATTCTAGTTAATCACTTGTAGCTTCAAAGTGAAATGAGATGCATCAGCTGCAGGAGACAGAAGAGCACCAGGGGAAAAATAGAGGATTGACTTCAGATTATTCTAGAAGCAGGGACCCCTTGAGGAGCTGTGGACAGAACTCATGGGTCTGTAAAACTGGGTGGCGAAAGTTTTTCCTCTTTATTTTTACTAACCTCTGTTACTTGACATTTCTTTCAATGCCTTTGTCACCCAAAGAATCGAGGGATTTCTGTATCACATTAGAGTTGTTGCAGGTATCTTGAAATATTATATATGCTCACCTACTACATTGGAGGAGATGGACCTCTAGGTCTTAAAATTTAATGTGTTAATAAAGAAGTATATAACATCATTAAATTATGATGCTTATTTGTTTCATCAATATTTTGATAGCTGAATTTCAATGTAATTCCTTAGTACTCCCTTGTGTTTTACTTTATGCATTTAAATGCATTACTCTGAGGGTGCGCCCATCAGCCTCACTAAACTACCAAGGAATCCACGATGCAAAAAAGAGGAAGAGCCTGTGTCTAGAAGGAAGCCTGGGCCCAGCAGGGGAAAATTGTTTCAGGAAAAATGGAGAAGATGGGTGACTCCAGAAACCTGATCCAGAAGAGGAGGTATTCAACAGGGAAGATTCCACACAAGCGAAGAACAGAGCTAAGTGGAAATGGCTCCTCAGAAAATCCAGAAAACATCAAGCAGCTCTTAGTACCTGGGTATAACAAAGAAATAAACACCCACTTTTGGAAGTATCTGAGGCAGAAAAACCCGAAGCAGCAACTTTATAGTAAAAGTTTAAAAAGACAATAGTGCAGGTGATATATTCTTACATTAATGGTTTCCAATATAGGGATGCCATATTTAGCCAATAAAAATATTGGGTGACTGGTTACACTTTAATTTTAGGTAAACAAAAAATAGCATTTTAGTATAAGTATGTCCCAAATAATGCATAGGACATGTGCTCAGTTGCTCAATCATGTCCGACTTTGTGACCCCATGGACTATAGCCCACCAGGCTCCTCTGTCTGTGGAATTTTCCAGCCAAGAATACCGGAGTGGGTTGCCATTTCAAAGAAAAAATTTTAGTGTGTTTCCCAAATATAGCACAAAATCCACTTATACTATATATATATATATAATTTCTTTACCTATCTGAAATTCAGATACAACTGATTGTTCTATATTTTACTTGGGAACCCTACCAATAAACTGTAGCTCCCAGCAGCTGTAGCTTTGTATGCCCTTCCCACATTGATTCTGGTCATGTGACTAGCTTTGGCCAATAATATGTCAGCAAATGTAACACAGACAGAGACTTGATAAATGCTTCTGCAGTGAGGCTAATTCTTTTGGAATGCTGCTGCCACCATGTGAGGAAGCTTGGTTTAGCCTCTTTGAGGATGGAAGGCACCATGGAGAAAGAGGCCCAGCTGGCTTAATCCCAGTGGATGCTGCAGCTGAATGCAGACTCATGAGGGACCCAGGTGGGCCCAGCAGCACAATGCAGAGTGACAACCCACAGGATTGTAAAAAATAGCAAATCATTGCTGTTTAGTGGTGGTTTGTTATGTAGCAATAGATAATTAATATGGTGCATCTTCATCAAATTTACTTAATGATTCTGGAGCACCTACTACCTGCCAAACACTAAAATAAGTTGATGAGCTATAATTCCCAGAGCACTGTGATCCACCTGCATTAGAATGACACAGGTTATTTGTTAAAACTCCATATTCATGGACCAGTCTGATTGAAACCAAACCTTTGGAGGTTGGACTGTGCAATTTGCATTTTTGACAAGCCTCCCTGGTGATGTGTAACCCTCCCTCTTTAGAATTTGAAGATTACTGCACTAAAGAGACACAAATATATTAGATACTGCTCTGCCCTTATGCTATGCAACCTAGGAGAGGAGATAGAGAGGTACACAGATACCTGTAATACAAGACAGAAGGAAAGGACTGCCCCAAATGGGTCTAAAGGAAAACTCCATGAGCCACAAAGATTAGATTAACTCTGAAAGGGAGGTACAAGAAGGCTTTGCAGGAAAGAAAGCTTTAGAGCTAGACCTTATATAAGGAGTATGGGTCAGCCCTGGATAATAGAAAAGGGCTAGGCTAAAACCTGGGGTTCCTGGGTTTGGGTCTCAGCTAATAATAGCCATCATTTATTGAACAACTACTATTTGTAAATGAATGAGCTAGACTCTTCATATGTGCTGTTTTGAATCACAAAAACTCTTGTAGGTAAGTACTGTAATCCCATTTCTAAATAAGAAAAGAGGCTCAGAGAGAAGACATCACTTGCCCATGGACACACAGTTAGGAACTGGCAGAGTGAAGATTTAATACCTGTATGCCTGACCCCATGAATTAGGTACCTTTCACTGGCTCACACTGCCAGCTCACCCTTCTGGGCTGGCCTCCACCTTCTCGTCTATGAGATGAGACAGGGTGTACAAGATGATTTCTGAGGCCCCA